GTGTGTGTGTGTGTGTGTGTGTGTGTGTGTGTGTGTGTTTGTGTGTGTGCCTGGTGCTTTCGGACGACGCTTCATTGTCACCACATCGAGGGACAAAGACAAACTCCTGCCACATCATCACCATTACCAATGTTTCTAGTGTGAGACAGTTTTTATATTCAAGTAGACATTTGCAGCAAACCCACGTTCTGAAAAAAAGTTGAGATCCCACATGTTGCATCATAGTGAATCACAGAGAGGTGCACCAGATATTTCTGCTGCACCGACACAGGCCTGACTCACGTTGCACTGAAAAGTGGGCTGGTGAAAGTAGCTTTAAAAAACAGAGTCCATCAGAGCAGAACAGGAGACATTAGAAAACCTCTCACTCTCACTAAACACTGAAATGGATCAGGCCTTAGTGGGAATTTGGCCTGCGTGCAATTTGACAATAAAAGCATTTAACTGGAAAGCTTTTCCCATGAAAAGCAGATATGTGAAGTGTTGAGTCTGCACGAACAGTTTTTCCCTTTAACTCTGCGTTTACTTCGACACGTTCGCTTCTACGGCTGATAGATTACTTCGGATCGCAGTAATTCACTGCTGCTCTGCAAAAACCACAAGCATGGGTTACTGGCGTTTGCAGAGCAAATGCATGAAGCAGTGTTAATGAGTTCTTCATACACCCTTACTCCAAGTTTCAACTAAAGTGGTTCAGTGGTTTCAGCATGAAACACACAGTGATGAAAACGTTACTACCTGGCGAAGGTAAGTAAGTGTTAGCACTTCTCTCCTGCATGTATATTAACTTATAGAAACTCTGCATTCAGTATTTAAGTTCTGGAAACTTTAAACAAAGGCTGTAACACCCTTGAGAACCTGCATGATGATACGGATCATGTTCGATGTGTGAGACCGTGATGAATATAGATTCCACATAACTACAATAAAGATAACACGTGAGCATTATCGCCACGCTGGTACAAAGGGCAGAAAAAAAATAATCATAAAAATCAACAGCAGTCAAGACGCTAAAAAAAAAAAAAAAAAAAAAAAGCAGGGCACAATGACCCCCTTGAAAAAATCTGATAGCTCCACAGCACTGATGCAGTGAGGTCAATATTCAATTAAGAGCAAGAGGCCTCGAGCACATTAATAAAGAGAGAGCTAATCTGGCACTGAGCGCAGGGCCAGAGGTAATGTCCTCCAAGGATTCTGTGAGGCGGTGTCTGAAGTGGTTTAAGACACACTACATACACACACACTACATACACACACACACACTACACACACACAGTAGTTTGACCTAATTAACTTAAGGGTTATGTCCAATTTTGCCATGTTTTATTCAGTTGTTTTATTGTAGTGTGTCAGATACACAGGCTGTTTAATTATCTTATAAATGTAAGTGTTGAAAACTTGAAATAATTACAAACCTACAGCACTTCTCATTGTAAATATCTCCTTGTTTTACTTTATCAGGGCGAATTTATGATTATTTGACAAACAAACAAGACGCAAAATTCACACATACATAAAAACTCTAATTATAGTAACGCGTATGTATAATACTTACGGATGGGGTTTCATCTCTATGTAATTCTTGGGGATGAAGCCGTCTTTTCCATTTAGCTCGGCCTTGTACCAGTTCTGATCACACTCTTCATTTAATACCTGGTGTTGACAGAGAAGAGAGAAGTTGTTCAGGTTAGTGCCACATACAAACATCATCAGTGGAAAAACAAGCACCGTCCTAAATTTAGCTTTACGACAATCAGTTTAATTTCCTGTGACTTCAGGAGGTTGCGTGTGCTGCATGTTGGAGAGCTGCCGGGCAAATATTGAGCAACTTCACAACTTAGGGCAGAGGAGGCGAATACAACCTGATTAAAAACAACGTCGAATACTTCAGACGATGAGATTCTGAGCGGTTCAAGAACAATTATGTGTCTGTGACATGTTCAGCTACAGAGACGTGTTCAGCATCAGGCCGCGGTGACACAGCTGCGAGAGCCTCCATGTCTGACAGCTACTGTTGAGGTGTGTGGGGCCAGTGGTGCGTCCATGTGTATCCAAGTCAATATGAAAAGTATCTGTGTGCTTGTAAAACCGAAGGAAATCAAGCTTCACGCTACAGCCCCCACAAAATGTTCTGTTTAAAAATAATGAGAGAATGAGAAACGTTCCTCTCAAATGAATTCCATGTCATATGTGCTGTGTTTGGGTTATTAGAAGCCATGCAAGTGTATATAACATTATATTTCTACTTCAACACCTTTAGATGTAAAATGTGAAAGTCAATCAACAGCACTGACTCATCCAGTCACTTGAAAGAGACACAGGTGGATTTGAAAACTCATACACAACCCTGATCAGCAGATTATGTAAAACCTCAGACACAAAAGAAAAAGGTTGTGAAAGAAAAAACATTTTTTTGGGTCAAGTTTAAAGACTTTTGACTCTTTGATCGTCTGACTGAAACTTTCTTTTCTTTATGTTCGGCTTTTTTATCTAAATGACAGCTTTTTCTTTTTCTTTGCTTCACTCCTCCGCTCTTCTTAAATTCATAATTTCCCCCCTCACCCAACCCAAGGCAGCTGTCCCCCGTGTGTGGAGACAGCCAGCTGTCCTCAGCCACTAACCCTGCACAAGACTTGGACCAAAATGTAGAGGACTTGCAGATACTGGAGTAAGCTGTGTTTCACAGTGAAGAGTCAGACAGTCAATGTAACGCTGTCAGAGCCAAGACTCAAACAAAGGGCCTGAGCCTCTGGGCTGTGTGTTGACACACCAGACCGACCTTTAAGAACTGACGCGTTCACAGGGACACTGCTCCAACATTGTGTGGCCTTGCGGCCAGCGGACCGCCGACATGCAGGACTATGCTTCCAATAGCACTGACACTGTCCGCTCGTGGTTCGCTGATGACATGAAGGTTTAGGGGATCAAACATATTCAAATTCATCCTTCTGGGACCAGAATGTCTACTGTCATTGTATTGGTACATTGATTAATATGAGGTGTTTTATACTAAATCATTTTTCAAGTCGTTCATCCACACAGCTGTCGAGACATTTCACTCAAAAGACAAATTTCAGCTTCGTGCTGGAGCCAGAGGAAATTATCAGGTGATCATCATCCGAATCAGTAGAATTTCATGGTAATTCTCATCCATGGCAACATGATGCTCGTACGGCGAAGAAGGTCAGAGGCGGACAAAAACAACTACAAAGTAAAAACACTTATAATTGTGCCGCTCAGCAATCTTTGTTTTACCACTTTAACCCTAAACCAGTGAGGCTGGCGCCAACATGCTAACGAAAACACAGCAAAAACTGTGAGGACCAATGAGAGTGTTGCATTACTAATACTGTGAACCCCCCCCCCCCTTGCAGTACCTAACACAACATGGACTCACTCTGCATATATTGAACTTTGTGACAGATCCAACCGTTTGAGTTCGGCCTTAGCTGTCGGGCTCTGACACTAACTACTGACTCACAGGAAAGCTAATTTTGAGACGCTAAAACTACGCCCTGGGCCCACAGTCATGAGCAACATGTGACGGTGCGAGTGACTGATTTGCTTGATTCATGTGTACTTGAGTAAAACAGATTCAAGGAATCAGGCTCACAGCACAGCGTGCCTGCCCTCGGGCTGTTAGCGGTGCTGAGTGGAAGGAAAAAAAGGTGCTGTGTAAAGTTAGTCAGTGCGAAAGCAAAACCACATTTTTCACATATACACACAAACAAGACGGGACCATTTCTAGCGCTCGGAGCCGAGACACTTTAAAACAAACAGCGAAGTCTGTGGGAGTACAATAGGTGTGTTGTAGGTGGGAGTGTTGTTAAGAAGTCAGGGAGACAAAAGTTCATCCCCACGATCCAGGCTCAGACCCACATGTTGGCATGCGTCCACTCTCCAGTAAAACAAAGTCAGTTAACACCTTGACAAAGATCAGTCTTACACTACTTCACACTGTCCACATTTAACCTGTGTCACCAACAAACCACACAGCTCTCTTCAGCAGTGACAGAATGTGTCTGGCAGACAGCTCAATGTGTCACCAGTCGTCATGAAGCCCGGCAACCTCAAATAATGGCCCAGTCTGCAACCAAAGTTAATAACAGAGCAGAGTAGGTGCTGCAACACACAGTACGCCTGAGCTTCCCTCAAGGTGCTTACGTGAACTTTTAGGGAGATTCACAAACAACACTACTGACCTTATTCTGAAGAAGACAAATCAATAGTTGCTCGTATAATATTTAATTCATATTCCTGTTTACAGGCGACAGAGCTAAGTCTGATTATTACAAAGAGATGACATCCCACTTGTTTACACTCTAACCCAGGGTGTGAGATGTCGAGCTGTTGGTAACTGTCGTGTGCGGTTGTTGCAAAATGCTGCGAAAACTTCAGTCCAGACACGAATCCACAACATTACGACACATGATAACACTCAGCTGAATGGAACTAATTGGGGCCGTCACATGTTTTGGTGTTTACGTAAAACTCTTTTGTTGTTGTGGGATGACGACTCAAATGACAACATGGCTGAGTGACACATTGGCTCTTGAGGATCCATTAAAACAAACAAGAGAGAAACTCAGAAAGAAGATGTGAAGCTCATTTCGAGCTCGATACAGAAAACATGCACCGTTTCACATCTTTATATTTTAAGCCTTGCAGAAAGAGCTTTACAAAATAGCGCATAAATACATGTCATCATCTTTTACACAAAACAGAACTCATGGCAGGAGCACGAACTGTCTGAGTAAGTTGATAATAACCAGATCAAGAATGAGGCTGATGTGTGTGAAAGATTCTGCTTTGTCTCTGAATCCCGCTCCATCACAAAACCATTAAACTATGTGAATTTCATGTTTTCACTAGTGTGGTGCAGTCACTTGAAGTTTTTCCCGAAACTCTCGAGGCTTCCTCAGAAGTGACGGTTCTGACTCAGTGCACCCACTCAGCTAATCTACTAACCAATCAACACGATATACGTCGTGTGTTTAATTACAGCGAATCATATACCAGACTATTTCTTGGTCGCTAGGCAACCGGTAGAGTTACTGTGTTGGGCTAACAGTTTCCCTGCGTTTCCAGTATTTGAACAAAGCTAAGCTAACCGGCTGCTTGCTGTAGCTTCATGTTTGCCCGAACAGAACTGAGAATGATATCGATTTTCTCACCAAACTACAACAGGGGAGTCTGTGTGTTTCCCAAAATGTAAAACATTTGCTTTGAGTCAAGTTCAACATCTTGTGAATCTCCAATGAGACAGTAACCTCTGCAGTCATACAACAACCTGAGGCAACTGAGTCACATCGTCTTTTCCAGCTCTTAGACATTTGCTCGGCACGGAAAATACTGACGGTTACCAGGAAATTGTACCATTTGAAAATATATCCCATAAAATGGTGGGTTCAGACGTGACTTCAGAATGACACTTGAACATCTGACGACTCTCAAAACTGAAAGAATGGCAGCCCATGAGGAAAAGCAGAAATAAAATATTTGCTTGGCTGGCAGTTTTTTTTTTTAAAAGAAACCATACAGAGGAGACAACCACAGCATTGTGTGTGTGTGTGTGTGTGTGTGTGTGTGTGTGTGTGTGTGTGTGTGACTGAGCTCCGTCTCTTTGTTCCAAGCTGAGCCAGCATTGTGCAGTCGCACTTCTGTAGATGACAGACATTCCCTCTCTCTCTCTTTTTTTTTTTTTTTTTTTTTTTTTTTTAATCTGATTGAGCCACAATAGTTGTAAGAGTTCGTATTTGAGAGGCTAAGGTCCGGGCCGGGGATTATCTCCTCCACAGCTGCCACTGCAGACTGCCTCCTCCCCCTTTCTTTCCCTTTCACACACACTAAAATATTAGACAAAGCACTTCCACTCACAAACCCGTGTGATGCTCAACATGTGTAGATGTCACGGGCACATTTAATAAGTCACTACTTGTCTATAAAACCCACAGAATTACACAATCTTGCGTTTCAACGTCATTAATAATCTTTCCCAGGCTGCGTTGTCTTTCAGGGGAGATTTATTTAATCAGATGTGGAGAAACCGAGGCAACATAATAGGATCTCTCTTCTTTCTTTCTGTCATGAAATGAAAAGTCAACAAGGCAACTTGCATCCTATAATCATGTTAAAGGATTTGTTATTCAGATGAACAGACATTATGACTAAAAAGGAGAGAAGTAGCCCGTCAGTGTCAGGACGTAAACCCAGATTTTGTCTTTAATTTGGACAGAGTAGAAGTGAAGAGATTAAATGAAAATCCCTAATTTCCTATTCCTGTCACTTAAACCTAAATGTCACCAAGTAAATCTTTTACATAAACATTATGTTGAAAGAAATAACCAAACTCAAAAAGTGAACATAGCATAAAGTGTACGAAAGGCCGCCTGACTAATCACAAGATGGAGGTAGAAAATGAAGTCCTGTGAGAGACAGTAGGGGCAGAGAAAACAAGATGCTAAATAAACCTCGTCTGCACAGTCCACACGGGATTGCAATAAATCAGCAGCAGGGATTACCCTGGAGTGTGAGTTAATCTCAGCGTGCGGCCAGTCAGCCAGATATAAAGATAGACGAGCTAAAGCTTCATCAGAACCTCAGAGGCCGAAGCTTGTTGGCGCTGTCATTTTTAATAAACCTGGTCGTGGCCC